ATGCAAAAAAACACGCAAAACAAATTACTTTTTTCAACTGCCGAACTGCCCAGGAACTTTTATGTCAACATACCACAATTTTCAATTTTTAATGAATATAATTGTATGTCTCATTAACAATGTTTTTGTTCAAGGTACTTTCCAACGACTGTTGACGACCGTTGGAAGGAGCTATACTATCTACCAGCAACATCATCTTGTCAGCAGTTTAACAACACAATGTGCAAATACTGCTGTGTTAAAATTGCAGGTTTTCATCTCAGATCATGGATGATCGTCTTTGCCGTTCTTGTTGCGGTAAGTGAAATACCTGGGTTCATTTAGGGTTTCTTTTGGCGACATTCAGCTCCCTGGATAATATTGTAGGCTTACGTCTAGGGACTTGTTAAGGAAACGATGATTCTATTCTGAATTTAATTCAGTGAACTTAAACGTGTAACTGTAGGGACGAGTGGCTTGATTGCCATCAATTGGTAGTTTTTAATTTGTTCCGCAACATTGGTTTAGTTTTGATAAGTCTGATTGCAAACTCGATTTATTGGCTAGCTTTGGTTTCCTTATGTTACTTTCATAATTCTTGAATATTTGGCTGTGGATAACAGACTCTGAAAGTCAGTTATTCAAAATCAAAATTATTCATTTTCAATGTTTTTACATACGTAAATGTTACCATCGCCGGTAGTCCTGAGCCTGTTCACGGGCATTTGTACATACATACAAATGTCACCATGTTTCTCACAGTTTAATCTTACTGAACAGCCTCACATTGATCTGGGTAGCTTCAAAATTATGCATTTAAAATTCAGTCTTCATTTTTACTTAATAAGTCTTTTACCTCTTTTTAATAAAAAAATGCTTCTTGTCTTTCCGTGAGTAAGTTATCTCATTTAATCGTTTCTACTTTCACGTTAAATAGAAATTAAACTTGCAAAGTGGCAGATTTAAGATGAAAAGAAATAAACATAAATTAATATTAACCCTTTAGGAAAACTATACATCACCGGTTGATTAGAAAATATCATGTAAGTTAAGTACAAGTCGCTTTTATCATATAAGAGGAACGACAGGAGGGCGTGTCACGCTGGGTTAGCTGTTCTCTGACTCCCAGATCGCGGGTTTGATCCCGGCCGAGGTGGCCGGATTTTCGAAGGGTGAAAAACCCACAGTAGCCAGGTCACACTGGCAAATACGCCCGGCAGAATTAAAAATCCATCCGACAACATCTCTCCCCAACGAGATTTCACTTTGTCCCAAACACACTGCTCGGATACCAAGACTGCAACCGACATTTGATAATCAACCATACAGGGAATATTTATTAGTACTTTTATCGTCGTAAACCTTTTTCACACACTCATTTTACGAAAAAATGTATATTAAAATGGAAATATTACGTCTATGTACTACCGTGCGTATTTCATGCGCAAGTGACCGGGGTATCATTGGCTTCTTCCAGCAATATCTTGCTCATACTTCAATCCAATTCTAGTCCCAGCAACAGGAAATATCTTTCCGAGGATGGAAACACACGAGTTTACATTACGACCGGAACCGGAACATTACGACCGGAACACCAGAAATATTTATTGCCGCAATGTTTACATTGGCAACTTTTCTTGCGAAATAATATTGCTCGCCATTTTCTTGCAAGTGTAAAGCCAGTTTAAAAGACGGCAGCCTGCCTGCTTGCAATCCCGTACGCCAAATAAATAAATACGACAGAAGGGGAGACGCATTCCTCGGTGCTGCAGCGCCCACAGCACCGACGCTGCTTGTACGCAAGTGGTCCGGTGTCCGGTGCGTCAACTGCTAAGCCCTTCAGTGCCATACGTGTACTGCATGTTCTTTTATTTTTTTATCGCTGGAAATTGCAGTTATTGCGCCGGATGGCGAAGTATGGCGTCGACCTACCAGTCGGCTTTCAGGGTTTTCCCCTGTCCAGATATCCCCCTCTCGGGACAAGCGGTAAGTTGCTGTCTGGTCTTCGGACATGTGTGGTAGTATAGTGCACGTAAGTGTAAGTAAAGGATGAGGAGATGGGAAGGAAGGGGAGGGAAAGATCGCGCGCGATCCGTGGCCCGTTTGTTAGGGTACTGCCTCGGTTTGGTGCTCGCTTGGTGTTGATTGAAAAAACCAAGGAAAACTACTGATCAGAGCATCCGTTCCCAAGAACTCTTCTCCGAAAAGCGGCTCAATTCACGTAGCTCTCTGGCTAGTGTCGAAAATCCTGCCACCGTCAGAATTCGAACCCTACGCCTTCCCGGACAGAAACACTGCCGGGTCATCAATTTAAGCCTTGAACCATTTAAGCCGGTCTATGCCGGTCTATGTTGTCAAGTGCAACAGAGACATCGTCTGTGTATCGAGGACTACTAAATTTACATTCAAGCAAATAAATTAACCATTCACGTTTTATAAATTATTTAAAAAATAAGATTACCAAACTGACTAAAGTTTTATCCAAGCAAATACAAGGGACAGTAACTAATGCCTCTTAATTTTCTTCGGTAACTTTTTGGACAATTGAGATAATGAAATCAAATTTTGCTCGCTTCTTCAAACATACTTGCACATTTCTTTGCAGTAACAGTGTTACCACTCGAACGTTGGTACCACTGTACATTCATGCAAAATGGCTACCATCGATATGCGGTTAAAGCAGCGTGCTGTAATTGAATTCAGAAGGCCAGCCGCCTATTTGCATCACGAACGTTTAAAGAAGTTTTACGGAGATGCTACAGAGCACTGTGCGACGCTGCAGAGAGGTCGGAGACAATGAACAACTTGACGCTGCAGATGCACCGCGGAGAAGTCGTTCACACACAGCGGTGACTGCGGAGAATATCCAGCGCGTCCATGACATCATTGGAGGGTGACCACGAGTGAAAAGAGTTTTTTAATGGCAATATGAAAAGGTAGTGTAATGGCTATAATTGAACATTAGGATTATTCAAAAGCTTCTGCTCGTTGGGTACCAGAAAACCCTGACTCAATACAATAAAGATGCAAAAAAAAAAAAAACATAACATGCGGTACCCGTACAGAACTAATGACTACAGCAGATGACGCGTCCAGACTCACAAAACAATCAGTCAGTTCTGCCTGACAAAGATCAACCGCCAAGGCAGCTCAAGATGTCAACTGACTGAACTGCAGCGCCTCAGACCGGGAGGTACTAGGTTCGAGTCCCGACGGGGGTGGTAGGATTTTTCGACACTAGCTTGTTAGCTAGGTCGAATTCAGTTGCAGTCTGCAGGAGAATTCCAGCTGCCGGCTGCTCTGATCGGTAGTTTTCCGTGGTTTCTCCTATCAACACCAGGCGAATGCCGGAGCAGTACCCTAACAAACGGGCCACGAACTGCGCGCGATCTTTCCTTCCTCTTCCTTGTCCTAACCTCACCCCTTACACATACTTAAACATGCACTACACTCCCACACATGCCGGGAGTCCCGTCGGATACTTAGGACCTGTCCCAGCTGGGGCTGTGCCTATACCTACAAACCATTCAACAGAGGAAGATAAAAAACATGCACTATACTTACGGACATACAGCTTTAGAAGTTGCCGCACCCGAAATCACTAATCAATCAAATCAAAAGCAACATAACGTCGATGCATAATGACGCCTCGTCTGGTCCGCAGGTGTATGCCTTGGGCAGCTTAATATACTTCCTCGTCATGGTCATCGAGGATCTCGGTCGACTCGGGAAGGGAGACTACCTCTTCCAGATGATGCCGAACAGAAAGCTGGTGCGCAACTACCTGTACCGCGGTCAACTCCACAGCCTTAGACGCTTGTGTATTGTCGACTTCCAAAACGACATCGATCACACGTACGACGGCGCGCCTCCCGTGGATGACCCCTTCGACGACGACAACGACACCACTAACGCCGCTCTGGGATCCAGTATGTATATTAAAGAATTCACATATCTCAGAAGAGACATCTGGGATATGAAAAGGTCTCTATAACGTTTTACACATGAATACGTGGTGGAAAACTTCATGTAACATATTTGGTAGAGACGGTCACTCCAGTCTTTGGGAACCAGTATGTATATGTGGGAATTCTCATAACACAGAACAGACACCTGGGATATACAAAGGATTCGATAACGTTTTTCACATGAATACTTGGTGGAAAACTTCATGTAACCTATATGGTAGAATATTTTGGCAATTCTTACTTTTTAATTTATAAATGATTAACTTGTGATTTCGTCATTTAAAAACTAGCGAAAACGTCAATCGCGTATCTGTCGAAATTTCATTTTTCGAGATTTGCCAGTGACCGATAGAGTACACTAGTTTTGAACTTAAAGGCTTTTGCAGAATTCATTGGTTGGTATGGAAAAACCATAAACATATTAACATGACTCTCTTCTGTTTTCGTATGTATGCGCGTGCCCAAAAACATTTCTTGGCACATGTATTTAAATGATTCCGTAAGAGAATCAGTCACTATTTTTATTTTTACATTATTAGCGTCTCTAAATCGAGACGTACCTACACGTGTTTCTAAATAACGTGAAGTTATTCAACGTTAAATTTTGGGAAAACACAAACTGATTTTCGGTACCTCGAGTAAGTCACAGTCATTATTTTCGGACATTTCTTGTAAAACATGATATACCTCATCATTCGAAGTACCCCTGCGTGACAGATTGCCTTCACAAGTTCACCACGGATCCAAATCAGCACTGTACCTAACCTCAAAATGGCCCGGTGCAATGCACTGCGCTGAGTGCCTGAGTGCAGGTTAGGACTCCCTGAGTGCACACTAGTTCCGGGTCATTTTGCGAATAGAACATGCGTATCTTTGTCGTGGTGCGCTCTAGCGGTCAAATGGAACACGAAAGCTGCGACGAAAAATGGAACACCAGCGCGACGAATGACAAACGCTGTAAGATTCGTTTTGTCTTGAGGCAACGAGACTTGGCTGATCACGAAGGGACAGAGTATTCTCGGGAGCTGTCCATGCCAGCCAGCCACGGATCGGAAGAGGCTCGGGGATGGTCGTAGATAAAATAGCTTCGAGTGGAGTTAGGATTTGTTTTGTCTCTCTCTTGGAGCGCCAAGACCAGATCTACGTAATGGTAGCAGCAGTTGCGAGAATTTCAAGGTAAACTTAATACAATTTTTGAGTCATTGCATGTTAGCATGAATATTATTTATGTTTTATGTAGTTACATATTTTATTTTCTCGTGTACGTACGTATATGCGGAGTAATTTACGTAGTATAGAGATAGTTATGTAATGCTATGAAAATCGATTTCGATATTTCAATAAAAATACACGTTTTGGGGTCCCCTGATACCGTCAAAACGTCCGTCCGTATGTCTGTGAACACCACTAGCGCCTAAAGGAGATTTTTCCAAAATTAATATTCCTGGCTCGACTCGTGAATTTGGCACTTTCCTCGAAATTTGGGAGTACTTTACATGAAGTCCCCGCAAATTTTCATAATTTTCTCAAAAACGACTCCAAAAGTTTCTTTCAATTTCTTGTAAGAGTAGAGTATAATACATTTATAAAGGTAGTATAGGTCCGATTTTCACGGTTGACTCTAAATTTTCGGAAATTTCAAAATTTTGAATTTTTTCCGCGGCTTCCTACAATTACAAAAAAGTAGATAGAGATTTTTTCTTTAAATGGAATTGTTCATTATTAGTTCTTTAATTTACTTAATAATTATTTGAAAATGGCTCCAAATTGTTTCTTCAATTTTGTCCAAACGGGTAGTGCTGACTACTGTTAAAATGACAAAGTTCATTTTGCTGTGTTCTATTGTTTTTTTAATAATTACACAATTGTATTGATTTAAATATCTCTCACGTCGTTAAGATAAACATTTCTAGCAATTTTGTAAACACCATTGCGTTTGTGAGTAAGAGTAACTCAAATGACGTTTTTCGAAAACTCTAAAGTTCCGAAAGAAAGCGTTTGAGCTTGCAATTCCACATTTACAGTAATGCTTAAAAGCCATTTTCTTACTAACGGTCCCTAAGTTTTCAAAGAAAATTGCCATTTATGAAGAGGTTTTACTCTTCTTTGATATTCATAAAGTATTATTTCGGATCGACTATTAGAAAACCGAAAAGTTGAGAAAATGTGAAAAAAATTGTTGGCGTTGGCAAGAGGATGGGGTAAGACTGTAAAGCGAGTCCACACCAGGGAAATTAGAAAACTTTACTACGAGAAATTCTGTGCCATTCTATAGCACCACAAGTTTGTCAATGTACACGTACATTGTGTTCTGAAAATACCTACAACTATCGAGTATTGTTTTTTTTTCTTTCGAGAAATAAATTTAATTAACTTAATTAAATAATTACACTACTAGCATAACAATCATACGTTTCCTTGCGTATATTTAAAAAAGCATTGATGCACTAAGTGAAGAAATCACTGTGAAGATGGTTGCTTAGGGCAACAGCTTTTGACACGGCAACGTTTTTAAAGAAATGTCGATATTTTACAGGTGTATTTTAAGGAATGTATATATTTTACCCATTTGTTGAAGTCAATGTTTTGTGCTCTCCTGGGCCCCGTTCTCGTTCAGCCTTTCTCGCCTGGGAGATCGAGGGAGAATATGTGGCATATGACCGGTTTTAATACTTTCACATGCAACACTCACTCCTTGTGAGGCAAGTGTTGTGAGGCGTTAGTGTTGAGCAGTTCACGTCGTGATGCAAAGGGATTTCGCGTTCCTGCGGAACACTGGTGCTTGTGGAGTTACTTAACAATAAGAAACAAATGCAATATGTGTGACATTGTTATATGATATTTTCCACCACAAATTCATTTTTAAAAAGTGATAATATTGGGCTTTTCTACAGTTCGCCAGGAAAGTCTCAACAGCTGTTCCTTGCTGGTGAGAGTGTTAGCAACAGAAACTATGTGAGAAGCACAGGATGCAGCTTTTTTTAAGGTCACATCTTCTAAGTCATTATAGACCACTATTGCTTGTAACGGTATGGTAACTGTGAGATTGGGGGTGAAAGGGCAAACACAATACAACCATGCCCGAGGCGAGAATCGAACTCGCGATTCTTCGGTCCGATATCACAACGGCACTACTGCATTAGCGATCTCGGCTATCTGTGCCGACAAGGTGCAGCTTGTAACTAAAGAAAACATAAATACCTTCCTCACTACAATCTTAACAGATGCTGAAAGATATGTCTCCTTCACTTGTTTCCTACTGACCTGGTTGCTACCCACACAGCAGCAATATTTAATAGAAGGCTCTAATGCGGAGAGACTTGGCGCACAAAACATGCCGTAGAAGGTTGTAACATTTATTTTGAGACAATAGTAATTTATAAAATTTATTGTGTGTTGGGCATTTTTGATAATTCCAATGACGGACTTCCCGTTAAGTGCCTTCAAAAATTCTAAGTTCTGCGACATCAGACGAATTAGTCGCGGAAAATAAATTTCGGAGAAAAATCTGTCAACTTTACGGGCGTCTGTTCTTCACATACAGACGAACAGGCATACAGACAAAGAAAAATCACTTAGTAGATACCAGTGATACCCAAAATGTGTATTCTGTCCAAACAACGTATTTGAGAAAACGGTTTACAAACTAGAATCAAGAATAATCCACTTTATATGCATTCGGAACACATAAAACGTTATTTTTTTGTCTGTAAAAAGTCTTCACCGTTTTTCTGCAGCATCACATAACTTTGTCTTCTTGGAAAGTGGATTTGGAAAAATTAAAATTACGAAACTAATTTCATGTCTGCCCAAACAGGTCATCTGTACGGCCGCAGCATGGACGCGATTCCACCCGGTGTTGATGAAGACTGGGCCGTGGAATATTTATTCCGAGGTACGTGTCCTGTAGTTACCTTCGAAGTTCATGAGCAGGGCTCGGATTCTGATGACCTACACAAAGTATTTCAAAATGACCGATGATCACGAAATAAAAATTAGAGGAAATGACCGATGAAATGACTTATAAATAAGTGGAACAATTTTAAAAGAAATTAAATGTTTAACATTTTTATTAATAAATGTCATTTCGTAAAGTGATATTAATGTTATTAATTTTATAAACAACAGTCGACTCGGTGTAGTGAACGCGGATATAGTGAACCCTCGGTTATAGTGAACTTAAGTCACTGGTCCAGTTTCACGTACGTTACAAATAAGCAGAAGACGACTCGGTTATAGTGAACCTCAACTTCGGCTATAGTGAACGTAGGAAATACCACGTATTAGATGTAAATTCCTTCCTTGAAAAGCCTCATTGCCACACTAGGCAGCTTAAAAAAAAGGTTACCCAATGGCCGTAATAGAAGGAGGACCCCCTGGGGTGAAGCACTAGGAATTGAGGGACACTACTGGTAACGTCACTGGACAACACTTGTGACGTCATGCTACTCCGTTTCGCTGCAGGAAAAAAAGGCGGTGGCTACAACTGGCAGCGGTGTCGCCCGATTGCTTGCTTCAGTTTCAAGCTCGGTGTCAGTTGATATACCTCGGGACAAGGCGCGTTGAGTTCTACGTGGGCGACAGGAAGCACGCGACTGCAACAGCCTGGCGAAACCCGCCGTGCCCATCGGAAAAGCGATCGGTTTCATTAGCAGCTTTCGCCATCCCGCTACCGAAAGCATCTCGTATGTTTTTAAGCGAGTCAAAGGGCCTTCAGTGATGGGTCGTTATTACAACGGTGCAAGAGGCATTGAAGGGTGTCAAGATTGCATTACGATTCTTAGACACAGCACAATATATAATCAATTATGGAGGGAGCACCAACTGTGGGGAAGGATCTAATGAAAAAGTACGAAGCTAAGAATTGAAAAGAAATTGATTTTTAAGGACAAATAAAGATGTTGAAATTTTCAGTTCGTTCTGTTAATTTATTTTTCTTTATCTCTACATTAATAAAATCAATCCTGTGGAGAAATTCTGTATAATTTTGTTATCCTCGGACATAGTGAACCTCGAATATACTCAACCAAAAACGTTAGTTCCCAGAAATTCACTTTAAACGGATATTTTTCAACAACAAAATTATTTTTTCATTCGGGGGCGTTTTCTAGCTTTAGGAAATGCCTATTTCGACTATCCTCGCCGGGTACCCACTATGTCCTTCGGAGGGGAAGTAAAGCCGGCTGTCCCATGTTCGTAGATTTACTTGCATGTAAAAGATCCTCAAGCCTAAATAACGCCTCTGAGCTAAATTCAAATCGCCTATTTCTCGCCCAAATACCTTCTTTCTCTGCTAGATGAAAAGAGTGTAGCGAAATTTGCGTGGTCAGACGGAAGAGCGGGCCTGATGGCCCGAGTCTCGCCACGTAAAATACGGCAAATTCAATTCAATTCAATTCAATGTCCATCATAAGGGCCACGTATTACACTAGACACTGATGCACTTGCGGACTCCCCGGTCTGTGGTCAGCGGACTCGCAAGGCCTTCTGCGACAACACATACATGAAAGACAAGGGACGAACAACCGTGCCCACGGCGGGACCCGAACCCGCGACCCTTCCGACCGACGCGTTGAAACACACTTTCGCCACGTAGGCCATCCAGGACCGCCAACTAACAAAACTAAATGTAGGTCGTAATATTATAGAAGTGAAGTAAAAATTAAGGCAGCTAGTAAAATCCACTTTTCGTAACCGAAGTGGATAAAGTCAATCATTATGAAATTTTAATCTGTTTCGAATAAAGTACTTGACCTCCTAGTGCGGTAATGTACTTCATAACCAAACTTGGTCGGTAAAGTAATGGCGTGCAACTAGGGTGTTCTGGAAGTAGGGTTATTCCATGGCCTACTATTAAGAATAATACTAATTTTTCACACAATTTATGATCATAACTTTGTTTTCAATTTTTCAAATAGCAATAGCAGCATGTATTACTAACTTATTATAAACATTAATAACAAATTTATGGAAATTTAAAATTCCTGATGATGTTGAAGCCTAAAAATTCGTATTTGTATTTGAATTATATTATTTTTTTCTATAAAAAAACAATGTGTCCCACAATAATTTTCATAGCTATTTATTTTTCGCTTGTTACTGATATTTCCACATATCCTTCTGCAAGAGAAGATTTCTATCCACCGTGTCTCTTCAACATATTCATACCAGCATTTGCTGCTATTTCTATTTCTGAATCAGAACTATATTAACTCATGTCGAAAAGCTTACATCAAGTGTGTTTCAATTGTTCTCCTTGTTGAGAACAGTGTTGCGATTTATAGGAGGAAAAGCTGTGAATACTAAATGAATTATTGCTAATGTTAATACTGAATGGGGGCGCAGGACGAAATTTCTGAATAAAACGAACAAATGTGATAAATAGGACAAAGTGGAAAAAATGTACGATATTCGTGTCGTAAAATCTGATTACCATCCTCGATAGGCTACCAAACTCGGCCTAACAACCTCGTTGTACAATATTTCAATTTCGTATTGTAATAAGATGCTTTACGGCTCTTCTATCGCAAATAACTATTACTTAGCCCTCTTTTACTCTTTGTCAGCAATACGAGCAGTCCTGACATTGCGATAACGCGTGTGTCATATGAGTGTTGATGTTGAGGTTGTAAAGCTAAAAGAAGAATGTAATCTGAATGCTTTTGCATTTTGAACATTGCAGGTAGAAAATCACGAAAAGATAAAAGACTAATGCTACAAGAAAAGGAATCCAACGCAGCCAGCTACCGTCTCCTGCGCTACCGCCGACAAACAGGAGAAGCACCTATAGGTAAAGTATTGTAACGTTTCTCGGTGGTGAATTAATACACATACAGAGGTCATATTAAAAAAATATTTCGTTTCTTAATGCTACACTAAAATATTTAATTTACAGATAGGATACACAGTCCTTGTGTTATTCACTTGATTATTTTCGTTACACACGACCCCGTTCTCTTGATTATTTATTTACACTTTTCACTTCTCCTGATTATTTATTTACACTGTTCACTTCTTCTATACTATCGCACAGTCCGATGCACTGTCCACGGTCCACTGCGCTGACCACAATTCACTACGCAGACCACACTTCACGGCGCTGATCAGGGTCCACTGCAGTGCTGTTCGACGCGATGCACACTTCACTTCTCAGCTTCCGACTGCAGGCTGCTGTTCACCTACTGCACCAACTGAATGACTGCTTGCTCACTGACTACATACGCTGACGAACTCACTGACTGCTTACTGTCTGACTGACACTCACACTGACGGACTGACTGAGTGCATACGCACTCACTACATACACTGACTGACTCACGTCTGCTCACTGCCTAACTGCTACTGGCAGCGGCCGTCGGCAGCGGCGAATTTATGCCTAGCCGGCGCCCGCCTCGACCCACCGGGAACTTGCTCTACATTTCTACGCGACTCGCGAATAACCCGAAACCGTCCAGTTCGGGGGGCGCCGGCAGATGACGCAATCCGCGCAGCGAATCCCGGCATATGATGCAATACACTTAATTCGTTACACTATAATAACTAATGGTAATAACTAGTGGTGCTACAACAGCATGTACTCTCTCGCGTAATTTCAACCTTTTGTATTCCAAAAATTCAGAAATTTTAACAAAAATCAGACCTGCCATATTTTTAAGCGTAATTTTCTCTGTTTGTTAAATAAATTAGAGCTGTTTCTGAGAGAGAGAAAAAGAATTACATTTTAAGTGCAAGTAAATTTATGAGAATTATTTTGAACATTGGAGGTGATAATTTACAAAACGATAGTACAGACGTGGAAAATTAATTAGCAAAATCCTTCCTTATACTCTAGAATATCATTTTTAAGGGTAAAACGAACTAGTTGGACTGTAAAAAGTATTACACTTCTGTAATGTGTTGTGTGCACATTCCTGAAAGCAGTTCTGGTTTGAAATGTTCATCTAAGGGAATATATGTGTTTTATGTCACTGCGTGATAACGATGATAGTTTAGTAATATTTTAAGGTTGTCTTGGAGACTCTGTGGTTAAATACTACGCATAGTTTAGACGCAAGTAGTGTTCACAGACACCAGACGGACGGACGGTTGGACGAACGGGGGGACAGACGGACGTTTGAAAAAAACACCTTTTCGGTACCTGGAGACCCCAAAACGTGTATTTCCGTTGAAATCTCGATATCTATTTTCCGCAGCATTACGTAACTTTTTCTATACTCCGTATATACGTACGCATACGGGAAAGTAAAAATATGGTTTCTAGTTCCAACTTCACCCATTGATTTCCCCGATCGATCTGGACGATTTCGAGGCTCTAAGGGTTTCAAACGGATAATTTGATTTTTGAAGATTCATTAAGCTGTAAAAACCTTTTCAAAATTTTGTCAGATACGTATGTATGTTTTACTTGGCACGACAGCCCGTGAACGGGCTCAGGCCTACCGGAGACGTCCCTCCCTCGAGGTCATGAGTTAAAGGGGTACATGTAGCGCGTAGACATCCCCACGCCGTATTCCGATCTTCTCAACCTGAGAAGTGAATTTTCTCATCGTCACACAGCAACATACACTGGGAGATTGCAAGGAAAACGCACACTATAGTCTTGGCTCGACCGGGAATCGAACCCGGGGCCGCGTAGTGGAAAGCGATCCCGCTGACCAAGAGCAGACTTTGTCAAAAATGGCATTTTTTATTAAACTTTGTTCTCGTAAGCGTAAAAATAGCCCGGGTGTCTTTTCCTAGAAATTTCTAATTTTTCGAAATTGCAAAAGTTCAAAGTTGTTTCAGTGTCTTCTTATAACTATAATATTGAAATAGACTTTTTTCATGAATGAAATATGTTCTTAAATACAGATCTCCAAATAAGATTGTGTACTATTTTGTGAATATATCAGTAGTTTTGCGTAATTTTGCATATAATTTGGCAACATTTGAACTATTATTTTCTCAAAACGGCTCCATTTCTTCTTCTTTTTGCTACAACTTCAACATAATTTTTTTAGAGGTATAATTTTTCAAAATAATTTCCAATTTAAGGCAAAACTGTATATCTTCAACATTGTAATTTAGAAATTTTAACTTTTCGCAGTTTTAAATTCTTTAAAAATACAGAGAATTCCCCGAAATTAGTACCAGGAAAGTGTTTATCGTCATTTAAGAGGAGGAAAAAAAATAAAAATTTGAAGCCGTTTTTGAGAACAAAATGTTGAAAATTCCCTACATTTTTCGCGCAAAATTACGCGATAATGTTCATATTTTGATATCATATTTGCACATCACCTGTTTTCAAGTTCTGTCTTTCAGCAATAGATTTTATACAGAAACAATCTTCAACACTGTAGTCGTAAGTAGTATTTATGTACGTCGAAACGATTATGAACTTTTGCAATTAAAAAAAAAGTCCGAGATTTCAACGTAATTGAACCTTTGTCGTCTTTAAGTGTTCTTTCACGCCAACCAAGGACAAAATGTAATAAGAATTTGAACTCTCTTTAAAAAAAATGTTTAGGCGTATTGTAAAGCACCACTAAAAATCAATATTTTATTTTGAATCTATCAAGAACTTCAGATCTTTCCGATCCATCGGAGTACATCAAGTTTGCAAAAAATCACATACGAGTAAAATGTGTTCGTGCTAACTTTGGGCGCACAGAAGGACGGACAGACAGACGGAGTCAGACGTTTTACCGTCTCATTTTACCGTCTCGCCACCGTTTTACCGACCAACAAAACATGGATTCTGGAAACACCACGTGATAGAGGAAATACGAGTACTACTAGTGCGAAAACGATTTTAAAAACTCGCCGATTTCAGGCGTACGGTTATAATACTTTCTCTTCTTACGAAGTAAGACGAGAGAGTAAAAACAAACTTATAGACCACACCGGTCTGTTCGTAAATTATTTCAAAGATACGCAACTCTCTAACGAAACATCTTTATCGAATGATCAAACCCTTTGACAAAACCGAGTTGTAGTAACGATTGATATCTTTTTCAGATGAGCGCTTAGCTCCAAATCCTTCTAACCCATCTCCTGAGAAAGGCAAGAAGTACGTAACGGGAAGACAGGGTCCACCTCAATCTGGTAGCAAACCCGGTGCCAAACCTCGTGCGAAACGTGGTACCAAACCCAGTGCCAAACCTCGCACCAAACTTGGTCGCGACCCTGATTCCGAACCTGAACCCCAATCTGAACCCCAATCTGAACCCCAACATGAAGTTGAGAAGCCTTTCGGAGCAGCGTGCTTAAAAGCTGCAAGCTCCAAAATGGGTCCTATCAAAAAGATGTTTAAGGAGAAGTTTGACACCTTTTGCAACAGATCGGAAAAGAGATTCAGCATTGGTAAGTACGAGCATGGCCTGACAGCAGTTTCGTGGCGATGTAGCTCCACAATATCATGTTTTTATCTCTCTTTTCCTAGTTGTAGGAAGGAAACGAGAATTGTGGCTTGCTAGTTTGTTAGCAATACTTTAAACTTACATTTGTATTTCACTTTTCGATGCAAATGAGACTTCTATTACTAGGGAGCAAAAGTTTTTAGTTTTCAAATGTTGCTAACCTTGTTTTTACTTTCCCGTGTACGTTCGTATATACGGAATAACACATGTAGTATAGGGATAGTTATGTAATTGTGCGGAAAAAGTATTTGGAGATCTCAACGCAAATACACGTTTTGGAGTCCCTTGATACCGAAAAAGTGTTTTTTTCTTCAAAACGTCCATCCGTCCGCCCGTCCATCTGGTGTATGTGAACAACACTAGCGCCTAAACCATGCGAAGGATTATTTCCAAATTGAAAACACCCTGTCCATTTGGCCTGATTCGAAACTCTGCGATTTTGAAAATCATTCATTAGATCCCTGGGACATTTTCAAAATTTTCTCAAAAATCAAGGGACGTTGGTAGACCATGGACCGTTCATGGGCTTTCGCAGCCAAAGTACTACATAAAGCTGTAGTTGATCTATTCTTTA